TACTTTTTTACTACACGCTTATTGGCTATATATCTGGTTATGTGCTTATATTGATATTTTCTGCTTATGTTGTGTATTATTGGTATGATTTTGCCTAAAGGCTTTTGTTTCTAAACACAATTTATGTGCTAATATGACATTTTATGTGTTCTTGGTCATTGTGCCGTTTTATTGGATGCTTAAGTGTGCTTTATTTCTTTACGATAATGTTAGAATATTTTATTTGATGCTTATATGTATACCATGTTTGTTGAAATATCAAACCAACACACTCGACAATTATACTGTCGATAAAAAATACAGAATATGGTGATTCTCAGAGAAGGATTTAGGTGGTGATCCGTCTTATGGAGCTACATATGTATGTATATGATTAATGTATAAACTCCTACAAGTCCCACTCATAACGTTGCCTTGATGGCTCCCTTTTCAAAACCCTGTATTCGCACCTATATCTTTTTGATTAACATATATACCCTAGCTTCTAGTTAAGTATAATATTCCATTCAATTTCGCCGTTTCTGAATCTAATGCATTCTGGGTAATATTTTTAAAAGTGTACACCAAAACGTCGTGATTGGTTAAAGAAGTCCTAAACAATGGAAATTCAACCAATGACGTGACGTTATTTTCATTTTGGGTTCAAACAACAAAATTACCCATAGCCTCCTTTAGATTCTGAAACGGTCAATTCAACAATAATGTACGGGCTTGGTAACATTTTAAAGTAAGCCATGCGCTACATGTAACAAAAACGAAGACATTTCGGTAATTACTAGATAGTATGGTAAGTATGATCTACTATAGAAAACGTAACTTGTAATTATTACTTAATGTGAACATAATTGTTATAACAATAATTATAAACCAACAACTACCTGAGTTAATTCCTGACATTTCTATTTCTGGATATCAACATGCATTTACATAACATTTTCTGATAAGATTTTTGTGATTTGCTATTCTTGAATTTAAGCGACTTGCAATATTGCTGACACTTAGTTATTTCTCAGAGATATCGCACTTAACATCGGTGTTGTAAAGTCATTATATAAATAAGAAATACCCTTTAATTTTGTGAGATAATCCCAGATCTTCATTTCTCTTTCACAGAAAAACATAAACAGGATTGACAAATATATAGATACTAACTTGACTTAATTTAATTTTTTTCTTGGGAAGGCAGGAAAACAGAGAGAAGATGGAAAAAATGATACCCTTTCTCTTTTTTCGTTGAACTTGGATAGAACGTTTGAGCTAGCAATAAACACCAAGCACATCCACTCTCATATTGTACATCAGCCTGAATATCGATAACCGGCATGGATGAAGGTATTTACATACTATATAAGTAAATTAATTTTGTTGGATCAAAGCTGTTTACCATGTTTATTCGCACCTGTTACCATAACTCCAGTGACATTAACCGTATTCGCGACACACGTCTAGAGTTAAGAGGGAAAAATGGCGTGCATATCACAAAGTTAACCTAGTAATCCACGTGAAGGTGGTTTAGTCAGATTTTTAAATATTCAATTTGGCATCAATATACAGGTAGGAGGTTGTTGATGGGGGTTTACAGAATAGAGAATAATGGGCTAACCATATAAAGAATAGAGAAAAATGGACTAAAATAAAAAGTAGACAATAATGAGGTGCTAAAATATAAAGAGACAAAAAGTATAAAGAGTAGAGAAAATTGTCTAGGAAAATTAAAGAATACAGAAATGAAGGACCCCCCTCCCCCCACCCAATCCAGACCTTCATGTAGTACAAATTCTCCTGTTGTTGGTTTTTTTTCGGGGAGGATGTCTCATTGACAATTATATAATTTGAAATAGGCATACCTGTGTAACAAGTCTTATATGATCTACACATTGAAACAATTGTAAGATAGTTTTGCAATATATAAATCTCGGATAAATATGATAAGAATGATAGGGAAAAAGCAGTACGTACCGTTTCTTATTTGATCTAATTCATGTTCGTTTCTTCTTGTACTTGAAAGGAAATAATATATAGTCTAGTACTCTATCAAAAGTGCAGTAAATATAGGGAAATTACTCTACCATACTACAAATAATACTAAACATTCGAGAAATGCTTTCTTAGAATTAAATATGTGTCGGTGTTAATCACCAAAGCGTGCCATTAAATAACGCATATTTGTTATTTTTCGTTTTAAGAATTAAGAAAAGGCAATGTAATTATGGAAACAAATCACAGAAGTTCTAAACGACTTTGCTTTGTAGTTTTGTTTTTCAGATCAGAAAAAATTGAAAAACGCTTAAAAATTATGCTACATACATTATTCCTGTCTGATTCAATGTGAAGCAGTAATTAATGAGAACATGAAGATAAATCGACAGAGACAAAGATTTATCAATAACTCGCAATGATTAGTCGAACCAAATGAACTAACACAAAAAATCCATTTGGACTATATGCCTTCACAAGTTTTGATCACAGCATAGAATTGACTTTACTAAATTGCAAAACTTGTGTTTAATCCATTTGTCTTTTTTAACAATAAAATGTTGAGTTGCATTCGATAGGTGCACTCCCCTCCCCATCCACTTTTCTTCGTCAGATACAAAACGTATAGGAATAGACAAATGAAGACAACAAAAAAGAAAAACAAGTTGGTATACGGTGACCTATAATAGTTGTTAATTTCTGTGTCATTTGGTCTCTTGTGGAGAGTTCTCTCATTGGCAATCATACCACATCTTCTTATTTCTATATATCCAAGGTTAAGTGGTACAGTTATCGAAAAAATTGTATAATTGCTCTTTTTTTTTTACTCAATAGTTTATTTCCTGTTATGTATTTATCATATTTAAAATGATAAACTTGTTTAGATATTCTATTAGATTATATTCCAATTTCCCTTAAATGATGCATGTTGACATTTTGTTATTAACAATCAGTAAATATTACTATTAAAAGGTCGGACCATTAAATCGTCCGTATTGATACATTAGTATATCATAAACTAATGTCAAGGAGAAGGACTAATTCCATCTAATCACCTTAACGTTTGTCTATAGGGATTACAGAAAACCACAGGCCTTGTTTTATTTTCTTGTAGCACTCAGAAATAGGGCGATAAGAATCGTTTCACTTTGTGAATTCTGAACATAATTTTGTATCAATTATTAACTTGGTAAATTGATATTTACAATGAAATGGAAGTACTCAAGTTTATTTTATAAGCATGTTTCACAACATTTCATTACCTTAACAGAAACAAAGCAAGCAAGTCTTAGAGACATTAAATCTACATTTTCCCCCCTCTTTAGCCTATGGTCACTCATCTGGAAAATGTAAATGTGACAATCAAGACTATTTGCAGAATACGTTTCTGTAGAGGTTACGAAAATTTTTAAAAAAGCGAGAAAAAATATGTTATCAACCAAAATTAAGAAAGACAGTTGATTTGCCTAGACCGAGCAAATGGCATAATCAAACACAAGAGGTACAGCACCAAAATAAAAGAGGAATACTTAACACTGTTCAAACGCACGGTGATGAACAAACACACTCCTCAAACGCACGGTGAAGAACAAAAACACTGCTCTAACGCACGGTGATGAACAAAAACACTGCTCAAACAAAACACTCCTCAGATGCACGGTGATGAACAAAAACACTGCTCTAACGCACGGTGATGAACAAAAACACTGCTAAAACGCACGATGATGAACAAAAACACTGCTAAAACGCACGGTGATGAACAAAAACACTACTGTAACGCACGGTGGTGAACAAAAAAATAAATAAATAAGAGTAAAGGCGGACTACAAAATTTCATGTCAGCCTTCAGGTATGGTAGATTTATTCTAGGGCAATTCTAAAATTGCAAAGACAAAAATCATTATGCTGTATATGTTTTGTTATCAATAAGTATAAATATAAATCGGATATCAGTTACGAACTTTGTGTTCACAGTTCTACACAGTAATATAAAAAGCAGGGCTTCAAATTCGATATGATGCTTTTAAAAAGAAAACTAAAACTTGTTTTGCAGGAATTGTGAACACTAATAATTCACAATTTTATTGTAATTTTCCATATAAAGTAAGACACCTCCTTTCTAATTTTTTATTTATCTAAGTTCCACATCCCACAAAATTCCCTAAAACTTGTAATCGCACAAAAATTTGTATACAAAGTAGCAATATTTAACAACATATTCCTTCACTGAAATGTAAATGTGTCTCAAAGATTGCAACCTAAGTATTGACAGAAATGCAGTCCTTATATTAATTGCTTGACTAATATCTACACAAATAGCATTGATGCTATATTGTTCAGTAAGCTGGATAAATAATCAAGACTATTTGTCCGGCCAGAACTTACAACTATAAAGAGTTAATGTTAGGTCGATTTGAGCTGAAGAAATAATATATATCGGGCGGTTTAGTGCTTGACATATGGTATAGACATTTCTCTATTGTTGAAGACCGTATTTTGACCTTTCGACCTCTTTTCTTGTTTTATTGTGTTGTTCAAAGTTGTAGTCTCATTGCCGTACATAAATAAATGTAAAGCAGTAACGTCCGTATGTTCCATTGGTCCTCCATACCAAATCAAAATAAAAATGTAAATTATTTAATGACTATATTTAATTAACCCGACATGTAATTTTCTAATTCTATCCGTTTGGGTGTCCGGACAAATAGCCACTAAAAAAAGAAAGTAATGAAATTCTTTTATCATCGTTTGATGATAGAGCTAGTTATGTACATAGAATAAACGTTCGTTCTGGACATTTCAATAACTGATATCTAAGATACTTTAAAAACTGAAAAGGAATCACCTGAAAACAAAAGGGTTCGAGAATATGTTTGCCTTTTCAGTTGTTCTTTTCTCTTTTTCTTATCATTTAACTTTAAGTTAACATTGCACAATATGGTCTAATAATACATGTTAAAAGAAATATTTTTAATTATAAAGCTACATTGTATTTCTGAATTCTACGTATGAAATGGTCTTACCTATGTAATAATGACATCCAATAAGTTTCTGACATATTATTCCAATTTTACACCTGGCGCGGTGTCAGACGAGAGGCGATTCTCTGACAGATCTAATATAGTCAAAAGAACTCTACTAATAATTACTATGACAGACAACTGCAATTACATCGCACGAGCTATACAACAGCAGACGATCACAGCGCGCGCTGTTATTTGATTGGTTAATTAACTATGATATATTTTATTTACCATCGATTTCTGATATACGAGATGGTTAACTATATCCTTCACCACGAAGATCCTTTGTGGAGAATCCTAGACGTGATATATGAATAGAGCTGCTTCAAATCAACTAATAAGATCTAATTTGTTTTCCTCACTTCTAAACATTCGAAATTATCTCCAAGGAAAAGCTATTTAATTAATTTCATGCTGTTACAATTTCTTTCAACCAAATCTTGTAAATAATAAAAAAAAATTAAATCTGAACGTGATTTATTCGGATTTACTGAATGTGTAGATGAAATGTCAATGTAGCATGGAGTACGATAAACTGTAACAGATGTTAGATATCATTCAATTTATAACATTTCTTATAAGATTATAATTTTTTGTGACAAAATCATTTAAATATTTTTCTCCCACACAAACATGTATATAGTCAATATAGGATGCGTATTAGAGAAATAGCTAAATTTACAATACAACATGCAACATTTTCGTTTCTTTTAAATCAATTGTGATAAATAATTTACATTGACGAAATTTAAGCTTTACAGCATGAAAAAACTCGGCCAATTGATGAAGACAATTTCAGACATGATGTTTCCGGACTATAGATAGATATAAGAAGATGTGGTATGAGTGCCAATGAGACAACTATAGATGCCTGTTTGTGGTAATTAAATGACTTCAAAATATAAAACCCACAGTGGTTCACAACTGACCGACTATGGCAGGTCTATTCAATGAAAGGTATTTCTGAATATCATACAAAACAATTCATTACGGACAAGTATGCATAGGTTCGCATTTGGAGTCCAACATGTGATTTTAAAACAGATGGTAATGACTACGGCAACATCAAAAGCATTCAAACTTCTAATAACAGAGGACCCAGTGCAGAATAAAGGTGAATACATTCACTTACAATCACACCAATATTTACAGAGGATCAGTTTTTTTTATCAGTGGTCACAGTGTTCGAAACCCAAAAGCATCAAATATTTTCTAAATACTAAGCATTTTCTAACCTAGGAATAGATTACCTTGGCTATATTTGGCAAAACCTTTCGGAATTTTGGGTCCTCAATGCTCTTCAACTTCTTACTTTATTTGGCCTGTTTCAGTTTTTGATTCGAGCATCACTGATGAGTCTATTTTTTGTAGACGAAACGCGCGTCTGGAGTAAAAAAATTAATCATGGTATCTATGATGAGTTTATTGAAGAGCCATTATTCCATGAAAGAGAACAAAAAGGAAAGTATTATACACCTTTCTAATGTAACTTCAACCAACATTTTACACACTATTGACACACCACATTCAATTGCAAAGTTTGGGGCATCAGTGTTAGTGCTTAAAGTAGTTGTTTGATATATATCTGAAGAGATCGATTTAGCCTACCTCCATTAAGTTCAGGATCCAAAACTTTCCGAAGTGAGTAAATCGCTGGTCTCTTCATGGGTTTCATTCCAACTACTTTAGTTTGGATCTTCTTCCGATTTAAATATATGTTAATAAAAAAATAAAGAGATGGGCAACGAATGCCAATGAGACCGCCGTCCATTAAACACCAAAGGACACGAGTATATATATATGAACAATTTACAGGTTACCGTACAACCTTCAACAATGAGCAAAACCCATACCGTTTAGAAAGATACAAAAAGACACAGGAATAGCAAACTTTGAAATAATACAAAATAAAAAAGCAACGACCTGATTTATACTACAAAAATAAAGGAAAAACATTTACCAACGACTACCACTGGATAACAGGCGCTACCACTGGATAACAGGCGCTACCACTTGATAACAGGCGCTACCACTGGATAACAGGCACTACCACTGGATAACAGGCGCTACCACTGGATAACAGGCGCTACCACTGGATAACAGGCGCTACCACTGGATAACAGGCGCTACCACTGGATAACAGGCACTACCACTGGATAACAGGCGCTACCACTGGATAACAGGCACTACCACTGGATAACAGGCGCTACCACTGGATAACAGGCGCTACCACTGGATAACAGGCGCGTAAACAATGTTGCGGGGTTAATGTTTTGTATATTCTGATGATAAAGCAAATTTCAATTACACAATGCTTTATGTTTAGAACATAACAACATCATTGGAAGCCATATAAATGAGTTACCTTTTATAATAACATCTGTATGCCAACAATGTCCAAACTTCACACTTAAGTAAAACAAGTTTATATTGCATAAAACATAAGCTCAAGATGGTCAAGTTGAGTAAAACATGATATTGTATACTCGCGCACAAAAATCGTTTTAAAAACCGGGAAATGAATCTACTAAGACGGTAGTTTATCAGAAAAATGCAAGGCGATTCTAATGGTCAATAAAACAAACACGTCAAGGAAAGACAGAGTGTCAAAAGAAAAAGACGAGAAAAAAAGAACAATCCACAAAACCCTACGAAGAAAATAAAGACCTTGCAATTCGAACACCACTATATACCGAGAGTAGACTCCGGTGATCTGGAAGGGTAAGTAGATTTCTGCTCCACTAGTGGCACCCACCACTATATACCGAGTTTAGACTCCGGTCATCTGAAAGGGTAAGTAGATTTCTCCTCGAACCGTGGCACCCTCCACTATATATATACCGAGAGTAGACGCCGGCGATCTGGAAGGGTCAGTAGATTTCTGCTCCACTAGTGGCACCCACCACTATATACCGAGAGTAGACGCCGGTGATCTTGAAGGGTAAGTAGATTTCTCTCCAACAGTGGCACCCACCACTATATATTGAGAGTAGACGCCGGTGATCTGGAAGGGTACTAAGTAGATTTCTGCTCCACTAGTGGCACCCTCCACTATATACCGAGAATAGACGCCGGTGATCTGGAAGGGTCAGTAGATTTCTGCTCCACTAGTGGCACTCACCACTATATACCGAGAGTAGACGACGGTGATCTGGAAGGGTAAGGAGATTTCTGCTCCACTAGTGGCACCCACCACTATATATAGAGAGTAGACGCCGTTGATCTGGAAGGGTAAGGAATTTCTGCTCCACTAGTGGCACCCGCCACTATATACCGAGAGTAGACGCCAATGATCTGGAAGGGTAAGTAGATTTCTGCTCCACTAGTTGCACCCACCACTATATATAGAGAGTAGACGCCGGTGATCTGGAAGGGTAAGTATATTTCTGCTCCACTTGTGACACCCTCCGTTTTGCTAATGCCAATTGAAAATTCGACGATGATATAAACAAGGAAATATAGAAGGAATTCTGGCTACGACAAATTAAAAATATCCGTGGGTGTCTGTGATTCACATAGTCCATAACTTAACGGTCAAACAATTCCTGGGCGCTTTTGTAAGATTTTCGTAGTGAAAAGTACGAATGTATATCACTTTATAAAAAAAGCATTAAACTCGACCACAAAGAATAACATAGTTATCAAAGACGTCGAAAGGATAATCACAGGCACAAACAGAAGATTAATTGAAGTCTTCGCACTAAAGTACACGGTAAACGAAATCTCAGATCTTTTTAACATGTCTGGGAAGAATAAAAGTACCAGTGTACTTATAACACAATTCTGGAATTGTTTTGGTCATAATGTCAACTATTATCAAAGATTTTTCTATCACAAACATTGCAAAACCAGAATTATTTACATACATATGTAAATAAAAGGAGATGCAGGATACAAAATCATTGTTATAACAACCGAACCAAACACACATATATTTATCAATTATGGACTTTTGAGGAGGTCAATACGTTATATATGGACCTGTTCAGATTATATTGACCGAGGACGAAGTCCTAGTGTTAATATAATCTAACAGGTCCATATATAACGTATTGACTGAGTGAAAGTCCTTAATTTATATATTACATATGTAAATAATGTATTAGGAAAATGGCGTTCAATGTTCTTTCTGTGTATTTTTAAATTGTATTTTGCAAGAATTTTAACATGTTATTGAAAATATCAATATTCTTTGAACAACTTCATAGCTTGTTGCGTTAGCTTTCTTGTATTCTTAGCTTCTGCGTTTAACATAAAAATTCTTGTGATAAACTTGCAAATTTTCTTTTCATCTGCTGCGGCGCTTCATCCGTGGTTGTTATGTGTGACGTCATGACGTCATTAATCTAAATTTAGCAAGATTTTTCATATTGACCGTCAATATACATATAAATAGAAACATAGCGTCAATATACTTAAAAATAGAAACAAGGCTTCAGATACATAAAATAACCTTTCAAACAATCGTAATATCCAATGAAAACAGGAGAATGCTACACCATATGTAATATATATATATACTAGAACACTCCCGCGACATCGCGGGTCCGTGACTGAATTAAAGTACCTATGACTTATTTTTAGCCTGGATTTTTAGTGTTCGTATAGTCATCTGGTAAAGTCATGCTGATTGTTAGATGCACAGTTTTCTCTGCTTTTAAAATCTTTCTGTTTGAACCCGTCCTGGTTCTCTTACTTCAATAATCTTACTATAAACTATTTTTTTTTTTTTTTTTTACTAATTAACCAAAATTACTTGTGGTATTGTGGTGGAAAGAAAACAGACTTGTTAAATATTGTACTATAGTTTAACATAGACTTAAACAACCACTGGAAGAATTCCAGGTTCTCCTGATAGATGAGGGATTTACATAAGGCAACGGGTAACGGAAACTACATGTGACATATACTATTGGTATCAGTATCGTATTAACGTTGAATTTATTTGATTCGTCGTTTTTACGTCATGCCGGCTAACAAATTGGACCTCGTTATTTTAGTAATATAGATAGCAAAAAGACATCTGTTACATGTATTTACGAGTTATTTTAAGGAACGAAAGAGCCGCTGTATATAACTATTTTTTTTTAATTAACGCGGAATAAATTGTACAATTTTATATTTCAAATAAACCAAATATTTTTCAAATGAAAAGCGAAAATATTATACCGAAT